TAAAAACCGGTATTCTTACTGTTTTTTTCTGGTAAGAATACTACTTTTATTGGTAATCAATTCCCGCTAACTTTGCCATTTTATCTCGGTAATTCTACCACAGTCGATAAAAAATAGGTAATGGCGTTTTTACCAAGGTCCAGTAAAATTACCGAGAAAGTTCAATAATTTTACCGAGATTTCTCAGTAAAATTACCAATTCCATAAATGGTAATTTTACCAAGAAAAACTGGGATCAAATAGAACCCTGAATTCTTGGTAATTTTACCCTTTTCTTAGTAAATACACCGAGATATTTTTTTCAGTGTAAGGATTCGCCATTTTTGTTTAGGGGATTTACTAGAGCCCCTCTATATTGAGAGTAAAGACAATGCGAATCCATTCCTGAGTGGTTCCCGTATTTTAGGCCTTCACAGTGTCACACGTTGGAATAAAGATTACAGTTTCACCAACTGCAGAGATTATAAACTGGGATGGACCGGGGAATCGGAGGTACAGCAAGGAACAAATGAAATGATAGTGGGAATGGAGACAGGTATTCGGGAAAGGGCTGATCAAAGATTACAGCAAACATCCGACTTGCGTAATCTTTATTCCCGTTTGTGACGTCCACAAGGTCACGTAGTCTCAACTCTCTCTATGAGGGGACTCTAGACTATACATGCGTTCGTAAATAGTGTAAGTGACCACTGTTCAACTTTAATTATCTATAAAAGAGAGTGGTTATTGATTATATCGTCGTTTTTTTCACCCAAAGGGCGTATCTCCATTTCTAAGTGAGCCCCGAAAAGCATGGATTTATAGGTGAATCAGGGTTCACGAGAGAATTAAGGTACGCTCTTACGCAGTGGCGTAACGGACTTCCGCTGGGCCCCCCTGCAAAATTTTTTCTAGGGCCCCCCCCATGTCGATAAAATTCCCCCCTCCCGCCCCTCTACTTCCCTTACCCCTTCCCGTTTTTTGGCCCGAGAAATTTCAAATCACGGACTTGGACTTGGAATGCCTCTCCCCTCACTGTCCCGGATCCCGTACCCGATTAAATGAGGCCCCTAAAGGATCAAGGACCTAAAGGGTGGCGGGGGCCCAGCCCAGGCCCAAGGATCTACAAAAGGGCCCATGCAGGCCCAAGAATCGAAGGGCCTCCAAGGGCCTTGTGGGCCCTTTGGATTCATGGGTCACCCAAAGCCCGAAATACCTACGAAAAGTGACAAAAAAGAGAAAAATTTTAGTAATCACTGAGTGGACATTGGAAGGCAGGGACCCTTCAGCAAAAAAAAAGTTAGGAACAGTCTAAAAAAAGTATGAAAAACCCTGAGCTAACGATAAAAATCAGCGGAAGAAGCCCCATCTCGGTAGGTAAAGGCCCAAAGTTTGAAACCAAAGCTAAGCATTAAAGAGACAGAGAAAAACAAAATTTCGGCGGCCGAGGGCCCCCTAGGCGCTTGGGCCCCCTGCATAGCAGGGTCTGCGGGGGCGCCCGTTACGCCACTGCTCTTACGTCAGAGGAGCGACGATATGTGACCGTTTGCGGGCTAAAGAGCCTCAAAGCCAAAAAACTAAAAAAAATGATCGGCTCTGCGGCAAATGAGATTTTTACTAAGGTTTTGACCTAAAAAAGGCTAAATTATACGGCACCAAACTTAAGCTACGACAGTATGAAGTGTTTAATTTTTTAAAAAAAAATTGAGATAAAGGGATCTTAGACTTTCTTACGCCACTGTTGGAATTCAACATTCTCAGAAGAAACTACATTTAAGTATATGCTCTTAATCAGCACAATAGTAGACTAAACCGCTCGTTTTTTATCTGGTCTGGATAAAAAAAAAAAAAATCTTTTTCTCTAAAAACTCAAATTAATTTTCTCTATCCAGCCTATCAAAAACGGCCGTCTTGAAAAATTTGCCCCTGTGAACTGAGATTCCTTTGCCAAAGGACGGCCACGTTCGTAAAATTCAGATACATTAAATTGTTAAAATAGATGCGTCTCTCCAACCCCTACTTTGCAGTTCCATTTTTTTAAACCGCTAATTAAGACATCATCATAATGGAAAATCCACGTATATCCAGCAAAATTTGACAACGTGGGATGGGAGTGCGAGCCATTGGACAACGTTTTGCAAGAAAAAGACCATCTAGCTCAAACATGACCCCCGGTATAAGTGTACTCTGATACGATCTATGGGTCTCTTTAAAATTCAGATAGATCACCCTTGTCCAAAGCTCGTCAAATGGCCTCACCATTTGACAACACCGCCCGAATCCCAATTGAAGGGCATAAAAAAGCGGTCCGGAGCGTGAGATTTCGCGTGACCCAGGCTAATTTCTCTATTGTTCTGCCCTCAGTGCCCTCTTAGGGATATTGAAAGACCCAGTTGAAGAACGACATAAGCACCCGAGGAGTTCCATATCATGTACGCCCTTCCTGTAATAAATCGTCCGCTCATACTCGGGCGCATCTGAAGTGTCAACAATAGCGGACTGCAAGGGAGCAGCATCGAGACATACATACTCGTCGATGCATCCCGCCCAATTGCAATACTTACCCCGGCAAGGAAGCATGATTGCCAGATTGTGATAAAACTTCGCACTTTTAGGTTTTTCTCAATGTAAAATGTGTAAATTTTATGGCACAATCTAGCAAGCTCTGGTGAATTGGTCTCGTCCAACCCCAGGGCGGAAAAAGGAATCGTTGCTGCATGAATTAAAACTGGTTTTTTGGCTGCCGATTGATTTCTGTTCATGAATTGGGGATGGTTGCGTATTGGGATTGTATTATGGGATAAGAATCGCCCTTTTAGAGACTCATTTGCATAAGCAGCCCTTAAGATGGTGCGACCGGTATTCTCGCGAGCAATCAAATAAATCTGGCAAACTGTGATCTATGCGAGGAGATAACTACGATAAGTATTTTCATAGTAGTCTTTGCTAAGCAAACCTTATCAGTAAACAAAATTTGGAGCGTTGCGGTGTTTTAAGATGGTCACGAAGCGTACTCTCAATTATTACTATTTTCGGGTAGTTTTGCGAGGGGAAAAAAACTGTGAAACAAAAATCCAAATTAAGTAATCATCAGAAACAGAAGTCAGTCAAGAGGGTTTGGGAATTTTTGGCGAAATATTTCTGGAGAGGGTTTTCTTGAAAGCGAATGAATTCCAAGTAGTAGTAAATCGCAATTCCTAAGTTTTACTTGTTCGCTTTACCAATGATCAATCTTCTTACTTTTGGGAATTCTTTTATGTTAAACATTGCTTGTACGATGAAAAATTTGAAACATAAAAGAGGCATAAAAAAAAACATCTCTGAAAAAAACTTTCGTCGGAGAAATATTGGTGTCTATGGTTTCGTGTTCATCAATTGGACGTATTCATGCAGGAAGGAACTAAGTATCTGCAAATTAATGAAATCAAAAGGAACGACGTACATAGAATTTGCATGCTTCATAGTTCCTTTTAGCATAAATACGTCCAATTCACGAACGCTCATAAAAAATCATCTTAATTGAAGTCGTAATGTTGGTCCAATACAGGATTGTGGGAAAGGTCGGCCGCTGTAACCGGTCAAATTCTATGTAGAGATGGGGGCTAAACACAAGAACAAGGTTGCCAATTTCCCACTCATGGGGTCTCCAAGTATCAAAAGAGTAAATTTTAGCCTTCATACATGGCAACCATGTTCATGCAATAACGATTAGTTCTATCTCTGCATAAAAAAATTGATCAGTTATTTGATCCAAATTTGAACCACCATGTATTGTTCCAACATTTGAGTTGTTTTCATGAGTTTCAGAATTGATTTCAGACACAAAATAATGCAGAGAAGTGATTTTCACGGACACTTTCTTAACTCATATTGACCATCGAAAGATATAGCTAAAATTACTGATGTCCGTGCTTTTTTACCGGAATATTGGATTTTCAATAATTTCCAATACTCAAAGGACATACTTAAAAATTTGTTTGGCCTTGCCAAGTTTTAGTATTAATTATTAAATTTCTCTGAGTCAAAGTAAAATATGAGAAGATTGATGTTTCTGTGAGTTGGATAAATCCTAGAATGTATGTTTCATTGTCTCTGAAAGGGATTTTTCCCCTTCTTTTTTATTATTCCTAACTGAAAGTTCTCTTGCTGAAAATGCAAAAATATTCTGTTGGTAAAACTATGAAACGTTCTGATCAATATTTTTGCTATCAATCACCATCTCAGGAATTAAATAATTTTTAAGTAAATTATGATGATATCGCTCTTGTGAAATAATTGCTCTAAAAAATAAAATGTAATGACCTTTAAAAGCAAGTCATACTTTTTAAAGTAAATTGTGCAAAATGTTTTCAAAGAGATGGTAGTTGCGTAAATATTTTGCCAAAGAAAATTTGAAAAATGAGATGTAAAAGAAATTATATTTCTGAGTTTATGAATATTGTTCATATGAACTCACAATTTTGAGACTCAAGATTTATCTTTAATAACTTTTGAATCATTACGATATTTGTAAATTAACAAGTGTAAATATTGCGCAAAACGAAATTTGAAATATTGAGCATTGCATAATTGAATTGTCTCAAAATCAAATGATTTTTTATTGAGTCATTGCAAAATATTGTCAGAGTAATAAAAGTGATAAAGCTCGTGAAAATTCGTTAGAATATTTTGAAAAATGCAATTGGTTTTTGGCAGAAACAACTTGAAGAGTTGATATTGACAAAAATTGTCTCGATTAAGACTTTTAAAAAAGAACTGTTACATCCGGCCTTTAAATTTTCGTTTCAGAATTCATAAAATAGGGTCTTTTTTTCTTACTGGAGATAAAACTTTCATGTGAATGATGGCTTTTACTTGATTACAAGAAATTACTGAAATCGCAATATAATTTAAAGATTAAGATAACTACAGATGAGACCCAATTTTATGAAAATACAGAAAATTTAAAGACTGTTACAGACGTACATCAAGAAAAAAACAGTAAGGAAATGTAGGAATATTGTAAATTATAACATTAGAAGTTCAGATAATTTTTTGTTTTATTTATGAATTGAAATATTTCCCTCTTTCGAAGAAAATGATAAAAAATCTAGAACTTACAAAGAGTTAGATACAGATGTATCTTCAACAAAAATCACAGTTTATGGATTACACATGTAGGTAATTAAACTCTCTTAATTGATCAACAACATAACAACAACAAACGAATCACATGAAAAAGAATACCGTGGAAATAATTATTTACAATGAGCATATCTATTGAAGTTTGTGAGAGATTTGTTTAAACTAAGTAAACATATCGAATAATTTAAGTAATCAAGAGATTTCATTTTCTGGCGAAAATGGAAATTTGAGATGTTGAAAAAAGTTGGTTGAAAAAACTTGAAGTTGAAATAAGCTTAAGGATGAACGCTAAGAAAAGGTCAACTATTGAAGATGAGCATTTAATTGAATTAAAAAAATTGGATAATTGTTGCTCAAAACGGCAACATTAAAAATTAATCTCAAAATATGAAAGGGCCAATGTTATTTGTTACGCATTTGTACATAAAAAAGTTGCATTATAGAAAGAAATGGAAAATGTATCAATGGATAATGGATTGAAATTAGCGTTCATATGAGAAAGTTATTAGAAGGCATAAATAATGTATGCACCAATTCTGTTATTAAACATGAAATTGCATAAAAAAAATCGATTTGAAAAAAAAATGAAAATGCTGATAAATATTAATCAGTCTAGTCACCAAAACGTTTTGAAATTATTAAAAATGCAAACTTAGCACCCAAAGCTGGAAGTGCAACTCAAAGTGAGTCACTGGATGCACAAAATAAACACTTAAGTAAGAACCTGAGAATAAATCCAATTAAATAAAAAAGAAAAAAGACAAAAGTGAGTATGAGTTGGAATGCACTCGAACTTTCTGCATGAGAGAAATTTTTAGCACGCTGAATATAATCAGTCAATTATTGCAGAAAAATTAATCAATATGCGTTAAAGCGGCTTGTATACACATTTGAAAATGCTAAAAATTGAGATGTAACAAACGGAATACTGAAATTTAAGCAAGGATTCACCTGAGAAAATACTCATGAGATACTAAAATTTGAGCTGAAGTGCACCAGAACTTGCAAAAGTTGTAAAATTTTGCGATGCACCGAGATTAAAATATTTACAGCTTATACCACGACGAATAAATAAAGAAAGTTGGCACCTAGTGAATCTAATAAAAACCTAAACCTAACCTTAAACCTAATGAAAGACAGTGTAGATTATAACTGAAAGCGCTGTTGCTTCTCAAGAAAATTGCGATGACGCGAGTTCACGGAGGCTCAGATTGAGCTTGAGCTTGATAGGAGAAGTGAACTTGAGCTTGGAGACACGCGAATTGAACTTGAGTGGATCGATGAAAGACGTTGTGTACAATTGAGCAGGCTTACCACCGATGAAGCTTAGATCTGAGCTTGCGGGATCTGTCGAACTGTGAGGGGGTTGAAGTCACCCCTGGCGCAGATATCGCAGTCGGGGACGTTGTACCCTCCCCAGGCCGGAGAAGGGACCAGAAGCACGACGATCTGTTCACGAAGTTCAGCAAGTTCATTTTGCCGGTTGTCTTCTTCTTCGGGGGTGAGGGCCAGCATCTGGTCGTGCATGTAGTTACGCATGTTCTCGTCCTGCATGTAGTTGCGCATGTTCTCGTCCTGCATGTAGTTGCGCATGTTGTCCATCTCGGGACCCTGGTAGTCGAACTCCTTGCCGGCGTACACGGGCTTGGGGTCGGACTTGACCAACAGGCGCTTCAACAGGGATTTCAAAAGCTGTAACAGAGAAAGAAAACAAATCATAAGTTTGTGCTCAACTGGCAACAATGTAATTGTAAAGTGAGATAATGTAAACATAATGTACTCTTTTCAGAATTTGCGGTGCAATTTGAAAGCTGGCATTGATCGCGGAAAAAAAGAGGAGAATTCACTAATTATTGATAGAAAAAATGTTTAGGTTAAATTTAAAGTTTCGGTCTGGATACTGGTCGGAGGAAAATTGAAGTTGCAATGGATAAAACAAAAATTTAGAAAACACATTTAGTTTTCAGACGATAACAAAAATAAGTATCAGATATGAATTAGTTCAATAAGCCAATGAAAATTTGAGGGGAGGGGGGGGGAGAAACACTCCACATGGACGAAATGGCAATAGGATGGGAGGGGGAATCTTATCACTTGTTATCACTAAAAATCATAAAATTTACGCAATTTTTCGGTATATTAGGAATTTAAAGCGAAATTACACGTGAGATACGTTAGACCCGAGGCTTACAAATCGAAAAATAAACTGATTTTATGACTAGAATAAGAGAAAACTGAAAATGTATCAAAATTTCGACCTTTCAAAAGAGAGTAAGAAGGGAGCGGCGGAACTAAAACAAAATATGGGCTTAGAACGTCATAAAACAAGTAACAAGAGATTTTAACGCGTAAAAAATTAAATCTCGAGACATAAAACGATTTAATTCGACCAAATATTTGCTACGGCTTTGGACTCGCGAAATAAGATACAAGAATGCGACGAAGAAAACACTCAAATCGAAAATATGAATTTCAGGAGAACACAGACTCAAATAACGTAATTAAATTCTCGGTATTTGTAATTGCAGCAATAATCACTGGGCATGACGGCAAAAAAAATGCACTCACTAAATCGGTGTTCACGAAATTTTATGAGATTAGAGAAATAAGTTTTCTCAAGTATAATGATTCACGGTTTAGCCAAATATTTAAGCACGAAAGCAACAAGTGATTAAAAGGAATTAGACAGGGTGGAAACATTCACAAGCAACAGGAACCGGCAAACAAGACATTTTTCGGCTCAAAATAAAAACAGAAACCGCAAAAGAAAGATCAGCACTGACTTAATAAGATTCTCCAAAAGAGATTTCAATAATTTATAGAATCAAATATAAGGGTTGAATATTAAGTACCATAATGGTTTGAATATGAGAACACGTTGTAGTCAAAACGTTTAAAAATAATTTAGGTAAATTGTATCAAAAGTCGAATATAGGTAAAGATGCACTGGGGAGCTTGTAATTATAAATAAGAAATACGATATTTGAATATTAAGCCGGAACTTTCTTTTGAGGTTAAGACGGGGGTTGAAAGTCGAAAGCGTGTACTCACCGATTTGAATTTGAGGGGTTTCTTCTTGGCGAAAGTTTGCGAGGCGTCGATCTTCATGTTCTGGCAGTTATCACAGAAGCACTCCACGTGGTACGAGCTTGTGAAAGACATGACGAAAGCACTTGAACTTGGACGCGAAAGCGTGTTGATAAGAGCAATGGCAACTCGAAAGAACGCGGAACGAGAGCGAGAGGAAAAAAAGCGAACTCCAGCGAGCAAGAGGTCCGGGTCAGGAATGATGAGCCAGGGTGGAGGGGCTGAGCTTATATACTGGGGAGGGCACCCCCAATGGCAGGTGCACTTTGGCTGCTCGGAGCTCCGAGCCCGGGTCCAAACCGTGGGAATACGCTCCGGAGTGAGTTTCTCACAGAGCGAGCGGCAGATGGTGTCCTACCAACTTGGAAATGGATTTGGCTGTGCTTCACCTCCGAGCCATGATTTTTGCCAAACCCGAACTCGAACCCAACCACCTGTTTGTTCCCGATGATCTCATCTTAAAACGGCTCCTACGCACACTATGTTAATGGGCCCCGTTTTTTTTCCCCTCTCCCTTTCTCCGGGTCTTTCTTTCCTCGAGCTCTTTCTTGTTTCATTCCCTCCGCCTTCCCGCGACGCAACCCCCGAATCGTCGTCCCTTGTAACGGCGTATCCCGATCTCCACATGAGCCCCGGAGCGCATGGGTTTATGAGTAAAACAGGGCTAACCTGTCTTAGGGGGGCGAAGGCGCGTAACATGCTAGTAACGGAGCGCGGGAATCGGAGTGAAATTACTACGGATACCTGTTCGTAGTATTTCGGTTGGCTCTCCCGTTTTTTCCTTTTTTTTCGGGAGGAGCGTGACTCATCCCCGCTTTGGGCGTTTCGTCGCGTCTCGAAGGTTTTTAGCCCGACCGGTGGAGAAAGGGCGGATCTTCGGATGCAGGTGAGGTGAGGTGACGTCATCTCTGATAAGATGCAAGTACGACGAAATGCAATCTTTTAGATACAAGTTAGAGCGTCGAATGACTCATTTATTGGGAGGTCTGACTGCCGAAAAACTATCGTTTTTTCAAGCCGAGTGCATCATTATTGTTTAGTTTGTGATAATGACGTCGTCAGCCAGGGGTTTAATTTTAACTAAACCTTTGGATGATTCAGATTCGTTCGAACTCAAAAGAACTGCAATTAAATTGGACCTAGTATGATTGTGTCAGTTAAATTTTCCATAATTTCCCTGATTTTAAAGTTGATGATGGGAGAAAGAGGGCAACAGCGCCTCCTGCATTACTCTCTTGGCGCTAATTCAAACTCATTTTCATTGTAGAGGCAACTTTCATCATTTCAGTCCAGGATTAATTACTTTTAAAATTTCGTCATATTCAGCCTTAAATTTAAGAGAAAAATCAAGAAACTTACATTGCATGAACAGCACGCCTTTGGGTAGAAAAGATTAATCTGCAAAAGAGGTTCTAAAAAAAACGTATAGCTCATTACTCTGCTTCAGTGTGTACAGTGTACACTATTTGCTCTCAAGAACAAATAAGATTTTGCTCTCTGCTGTCTTAAGCGCGTGTTCCATGTTCAGCCCCTAAAAACGTCATATATTTTTCTCGGCTTTGTGCATGAAATATTTATCGGAAATTTCCAATCTTTCATATTTTTCATCTCTCTTGTGCAACCCTCCTTTTCGTCCATCGCTTTGTTTATCAATATCGAGAATCACCCCGCAGAACACTCCTGACAACACGCATGCTCCATATAGCGGGTGGATTGGGAGAAGGGGAGCTTGTTCCATCGCGAGTCGCTTTTGCTGCCGTGCTGAGGAAAAACGCTATATGAACATTCGAGGGTTGCAAATTTCCTTCATTAAAATGTTTATTCTTGAGGAAAATTATGAATATTTTTCCTTGAAATTTTCAGAAACTTTAGATAAAAATACAAGCAAAATTCTCTGAAAAATTGGAAGAAAAATACTCATAAGTTTACCAGGGAATTCGTGTTATATCACAGACAAATTGGCAACGCCTGAGGGTTCATACGGCGTTTTTCCTTAGCACGGCAGTTTAGAAGTGACGAGGTGTCCGATCACGGTAGCGGACCAGGAGTGCCCTCGAGATCCCGGCTCGAAATGTTGATGCAACTCGCACAACGCACAGTAGACCGAAGCCAATGGGAAAGGTCGGACATGAGTTTTTTGGCTGAAAGTGCAAATTTAGATGTTTATTTCATCAAATTTTAAAGTTTGAGGGGTGATTCTTTCAAGAGATTTTACGAGGAAACCAATGGGACCACTTTTAAGACCTCCATGTTTTGTAATAATGGAGTTCTGAGTTTTGAAAGTTTTGTCCGACTACTCTGATTGATTCGTTCCAGTGTGCGACGGAAGCCGTCAGGAGTGATTAATTGTTAAGTTGTTCGGCTGCTTCCTCGATGACTCGAGCAAGTGCGTAGCGCGCGGTCCGACGAGCACCTCCTTTCGCCAACCCTTTCCCTTCATTCATTCGTGCTGTCGTAATCTACAACTACGATGACCTGGAAAGTTTTGGTCCAGACGGCATTACATCCCTGAGACCGTGTCCATCTGCGTTGCGTCTTGAATGGACCACTACATACTGTCAAATTTGACCTTTATGATGACTTAATCATTACAATTTCAGGCAGAACACGATTTTTACAACCAAAAAAAAAAATACTGGAGGTAGCTCCTAACGATGATCCCAATATTGGCGCTGTGGTTCAGTTGTTGAAAGTTATTTATACCTCGGACAACACATGGTGAAGAGGGTACGCACTACTTATCGAGAAGCCTGCCAAAATCGTTGCAGTGCGTGATTTGATTCAAGGAAATTCTGGTCATTCGTGTGAGCAGAAAATTCCAATTATTCGTAACTAATGCTAACCAAACCGTTAATATCCTAGTTGGAAGTTGATCTCAGCAATTTTTGTCGTGCAAATCGTGTTCTACGCGAAAGTTTGAGGCGGATCTATAGGGATCTCGGTCCCCAAAAGTCTTTCCTTTTGACCCAAGACCACACTGAAAATTTTCTAAAACCAGCCCAGAAATGGCCACACTCTGCCTATGAAGGTACTCTACGGCAGATTGCTGCTACAGTGTTCCATTTGGCAACGGAGGTTTCAGCCGTTGGTGCGCGAGTCCCGCGCCCGCGCTTTGTCGCGGCGGCGTGGCG